GAAAAACTGGCCAATTGCAGCGTCGGCTACATCACAGTCTGCTGGCTGGGGAATTAGCTTCGAGGTAGGACCCAGAGAGTGGTAGTTGATGGAAGTCAATCGTTGTGGTGTGCTGTGACCAGTGGGGTCCCCCCAAGGCTCCGTTCTTGGGCCTATACTTTTTAACATCTCCGTTAATGATGTGGACATTGGTGTCAGGAGCAGACTGGCCAAGTTCGCTGATGACATCAAACTTTGGGGTAAAGCATCCACACCCGAGGACAGGATGGTGATCCAGGCTGACCTTAACAGGCTCGGAAAATGGGTGGATGAAAACCTGATGGTCTTCAGCTCTGAAAAATGCAAGGTACTCCCACCTTGGGAAGAAAAACCCGCAGCATGCTTATAGGCTCGGCAGTGCTATGCTTTCTAGCACCATGGCCAAAAGGGACTTGGGGGTCATGATTGACCACAAGATGGATAAGAGCCACCAATGTGATGTTGCAGCCAGCAAAGCGAACAAAACTCTGGCTTGCATCCATAGATGCTTCTCAAGCAAATCCCAAGATGTCATCCTCCCACTGTACTTGGTCTTGGTGAGGCCGCAGCTGGAGTACTGTATCCAATTCTGGGCTTCGCCATTTAAAAAGGATGTGGAGAAACTTGAGAGAGTCCAGAGAGCCATATGCATGATCAGAGGGCAGGAAAACAGGCCTTATGATGAGAGGGTGAGAGCTATGGGACTCTTCAGCCTGGAAAAGCACAGGCTCAGGGCGGCCCTGGTGGCTGCCTGTAAGTGTATAAGGGGTGTGTATCAGGATCTGAGGGAGTGCCTGTTCACCAGAGCGCCCCATGGCACAACGAGGTCAAACAGTCACAAACTCCTCCAAGACCATTTCAGGCTGGACATAAGGAAGAACTTCTTTATAGTCTGAGCCCCCAGGTGTGGAACAGACTGCTGCCAGAGGTGGTGCAAGCACCTACTCTGGACTTCTTTAAGAGTCAATTGGACGTTTATCCTGCTGGAATCTTGTGACCCCAGCTGACTTCCTGCCCCTGGGGCAGGGGGCTGGACTTGATCTTCTGAGGTCCCTTCCAGCCCTAATGTCTATGAAATCTATTAAATGAAATGCATGCAAAAACATAGTAACTTAAAAGCATTTTCCATCAGGTATAAAGTGTCACTGCTTTGAGAAGCACAGTGAAGTAATCTCACACATGAAATGCATAGAAAATAAGCTAAACAGTTGATCTAAATTACTCCAAATAGCATATTGGCAAGAGGCAATGTTAGTAAGAAATTGGGCCACCTTTATCTATGAATTTGGCAGTGGAGAGGAGGGTGGTTTGCAGTGGTGTGGACATTCCTTCAGTTGACTGTGCCATAACTGCCTTTTTTAAGTCCCCAAAAGCCCGGAGCCTTTTTTTTTAAGTCCCCAAAGCATGATTTCCCCACTGCTACCACTATCCCTGGCCACCCCAGACCCAGGGGCTCCAAAGCTGCTGTAGTCTGCTCCAACCAGATTCTGCACAGTTCTGGCCTCAGCCAGGGGCAGCAGGAGCAGTGGGCAAGTTCCTTCTCCCTATGAGCCCGGGAGCAGGCTCAAGGGAAGGGAAGCTGCCTGCTGTCTCTACCCACAGCTGGCTCCATGTGCAGCCTACCTGTAGCAACCCTGGCCCCCTGCACTGCCAGTAGGTCCAGGAGAGTGGAGAGGAGAGGAATGAGGGGGAGGGAAGTTTCTTACCTGTTTAAGACTTGAGGGGTCCCCTGTGGCATGGTCTGCTTGCTCGTGTGGGCTGGGAGCTGGGGTGCAGCTGTCCCTGCAGTACCAGTGGCTGCTCCCACATCCCACTTGACAAAATTTTGGATCCATCCATGTATATATCTGGATCTAGATACAGATGTCAAGATTGATAACTGAAACTGCTAGTTCTTGAGTAGAATGCACACACTAACTTTTTTCTTTTTTGTAGGTGCAAAAGTCAGAGCAGAAATTTATGAAGCCTTTGAAAACATATATCCTATTTTAAAGGGATTCAGAAAGACAACATAACAGTGTTTGCATATTTTTAAGAGAAACGTTGAGGTACATTTGAAAAGGTATTGCATATGGCACAGCAGTGACAAGAGATGGACTTTCAATTACTGCAACACCAAGACTTGGACTCTTCTCCAGTTAGTGCCTAACTCCCTCATCCTGAAAAGGAAGCTGTGTTTTTATGGATTGTGTCTACTGGGTTACTGTGAGTTGCTTTGCTGGGCTGTTCTTGGAACAGCCCGTACAAATTTTATTTATATTCTGGCTTTTAAATAGTTTTAATGTCAGTTCTTTTATTATGAACCCATGAGTTGGTAAGTTGGTTTAAGAGATGCTTTTAACCATGTCGTTAGATATATAAACCACTTCAGTTGCTGTACATATAAGTTTTAACATTCTTCCATAAACCATGATTTTATAGGCTTCAAAAATTGTTTTTCAAATGTTTTGGGGCTTTTTTTCATTTTGATACTTTTTTTGTGCCAGACACATTCCCTGTTTCCAG